CCTAAACAATCTTATGAGATTGAGGATTATGTTTTCTTGGTATCTCCTACAGAATTGGATGAACCTAATTCTGTAATAGAGGCTTTATCAAGCCCTAAAAGGAATGAATGGTTAAAAGCGATGAAACAAGAATTTGAGTCTATGAAAATCAACGAAGTCTGGGATCTAGTTGACCTTCCTTAGGAACGTTAAGCTATTGAGAATAAATGAATTCTTAAAGTTAAACGTAATTCGAATGGGTCAATAGAAAGACATGTCTTGAGTTCCTTATTCTAGTGCAGTCGGGAGTTTAATGTATGTTATGATGTGTACTCGCTCATACATTTGTTATGTCGTGAGTCTAGTTAGTAGGTATCAATCCAATATTAGAAAAGATCACTGTAAAGCAGTAAAGAGAATATTTCGATATCTGAAGAGAACTGCATATCATACACTTGTTCTAGTGGATCTGATTTATTCATAAAAGGTTATACAGATGTTGATTAGACCGATGACCGGGATGATAGAAAATCAACATTTGATTTTGCTTTCTTACTAAATAGTGGTACTATTTCATGAAAAAGTAAGAAGAAAACTTGCACAACTCTTTCAACCATGGAATATGAATTTATGGCATGTGGTGTCTGCATTACAAAAAGTTGTTCGGTCAAAGAGTCTTTGAACATTTGAATATTGTAAAGAATTCTAAAAGTCCAATGATTTATTATGATAGTCAAGCAACGATCGCGTACACAAAGTATCCTAAGTATCACCTAAAAACCAAACTCATTGACATCAAGTACAACTTTGTGAGAGACGTAGTTACAATACATTTATACACGTGAAATGATAGTTGATTTTTTTTTAAAAAGTCATCTTTAGAGACTTGTTCGAAAAAACATGTTAAGTCTCTAAGTTTGCATACAGTATGATGATATTTCATTATTTTAAACTGACATGATTGATATGATATTCTCTTCAATATAAAACTATTGAATTTATATTCAAATGTGGTAGGCATGTGATAATATGTAAGATATAAAATGTGTCAAACAAGTCGCGAGATTATCTCTCTCAGACGAGAAATCACATCTTATGTCGGGGAACGTGAATAGATGAATTTTACCATCATTTTATGACTTCTTTTATGATCCAAACAAAAGTTTCTCCAAGAAATGAGCTTAAGGATCACTGAAGAGAGAAACTAGGGTTAAACATCTGGAGAAGTTTAGACCAAGGTATGTACGATGTTGAATAATCAATAGAATGAGACACATACACCAATTTAAGGTGTAAACATTGTAGCACGTGTTTCATACCACGTATGTCTAGCGATTAATGGGTCAATGAGAGAATATTCTCTGCTTCTTCATTGTGTGAGACCTTGAAAAGTTAAATTAACTTTTCAATGAAATACCCTTTGACCTTTTGTTGTTTCTTGAAGTTCCAAATGGTGTTGCTATTTTAGCATGTTATTAATAGCCATGAGAGATTCGGCAATGCATTGCATGTCTAGAAATGCAGTTGATATGAAACAGATAGATTCGAGTAGAAAGGAAAGATGATTAAATGAACAACTCATGTTGTATACATAAGTCGGCTATTATACTAAAGTGTATTGTGTGTATAAAGTTAAACATGAACTCGAGTACATCTCTTTAAGAGGTTGAGGGATCGAATAAGTAACTTTTGAAGTAGTGAATGACTTCTGTGGTATTGTGAGTAATAGTGTCCTTTAATAGTAGTGAATTCTTTCCACATGTGATTGAATTCATATATAAGGCTTGTAAAACCTTAAAGATAAGCTCTTCATGCTCACAAGTCGGACGAACTATTTGTCATATGAATTGTGTGTTTGATTGATATAATGTTGACTTGGGTCTTTTTCACCATGTGCAAAGTGGGAGATGTAAGTTTGAATTGTGGGTCGTCCATGTGGACCAACCCGACCCGATCTGTTTTAATGTATTATCCAATTAATTAATTGATTAGGCTAAATCCTTTTAAAGCATAAGGCAGAACGGTTACATTTTAACTGTTCAACCCATCTTTAAAAGACTCCTAGTGGGAGTATTTACTAACGTACATGAAACGTGAAATAGAGAGGAAATTTGTGTGAAACAGAAAACCAAAAACAAGCGATCAGTCAAGAAATAAAGAAGTGAGTTTCTCAGAAAAATTAATCTACACACAAGGCAGACTTTTGGTATGTGAACACAAATCTTTGTTTCCTAGTGATTCAAAGATTGACTTAGCACCAACCTATCAAAGAAGCAGATCAACTTCCGCTGTGAATTACTAGGTACACATCTCGTTTTTGATTTACCTTAATAATCCTTCAAAAAAGATCAATCAATATTTTTAAGGATCTTTATGTTTTAATATAATACTCTAATTTAGTGCATTTTTGTCGTGTTATTATAAAATATGTATATGAAAATATTATTGTAAAATAGTAAATATTAATCATATATTATTATAAGTGAGAAGCTTCTAACTTAAAAGTTGAATTACCATTTTGCCCTTATTTTATTCTTAAAAGAAATTAAATATCAATATATAATTAATTTAATATTAAATAATCATATTTAAATACATGCATCTAGACACTATTTAAATACTAAGTAATAATTATATTATATTATACTAAATACTAAAAATAAGAAGGTGTAAAGTCAAACTTGGAAAGACAAAAATATTTCATAGAAAATTGTCTGGAATTGCTTTAAAAAATAAAAATAAAAATTCTATTCTTTCTCTATAATTAGTGTGGTTAAATGGATAAATTTTTAATCCTTTCTTTATAATTAGTATAATTAAATGTATTGAATTATTAGTAAAAACAATCAACATTTCCTCTCTCCCATGTCACTTCTGAAAATTACTAAACAACTCTTCACCTTTTCATCTTATCCTATAATCTTTAGCTATATATGTGTATCATGAAAAGTAATTATTCTTTATCACTTGCCTCTTGTTGATGTGAATCATTAGGTAATTTTTATGTTTTTTTTTGTTTTAAATATTATTATTTGTTTGATCCAAATTAGAGTGATATTTTAAAACATAGTTTTATCTTTACTATTTTAGATGTTTTTTTTTTATTACGGGAGAAGGTATCATCAAGAACTCTACTCCTTATGTATTTCTTTTTTTACTATATATATTGTTATAATTAAATTCTTAAGAAGGATATAAATGTTGTATTTGTTCTTGTCTGTTTAATTTTTTTGTATTCTTTACCGATTTATACTTCTTTATTTAATCTACTATGAAATTATGAATGTTATAAGTCTACTTTTATTTTTCCTAAATTTACTTATTTATGACTTTTATATTCGTTTTTAAATGTACTTTTATACTTTTTTTTCTTTTATCCTTTCCTTACTAATATAGTTTCTTTAAGTAGATACATATTGGTGTACTTAGAGCATAATGAGAGTTTATTAAGGATAAATCATATAGATATATTCATATTATTTGATGCTATACTAATATTATTATTTTTCCATATTTTTTGCTTGATGATCAATGTAGTATTCGATTATTATGAATTTTATTTAATGAATAAAATATAAATTGCTAAAACTAATATTTTTAATTTCAAAATTTTCTATATAAGAATTCAACTAGGGACAAACGTGCAACGCGCGTTCCGGGAACTAGTGCTCAAATAAGTAAAGGTTTGTTTAAATAATAATAAATAAAAATACTATAACTAGATTCAATATCTTTTTGACATACAAATATCACCACGATCTGAAAACTCGAGTTACGATGGCACTTATCAAAATTAGGGGTGTCAAATGGGTGGGTTGAGTTGAAATTGGAGATATTAAAATGGATTTAAATTGTGAAAAAAGTTAAAAAGTTGATTTCTTGGGAATATGATAGATTGTTCTAGTAATGTTTCTAAAATAGTGTAGGATAATATCTAAGATAAAAAAATATCTATCACTAGAATTTTCTTTGTAGAAGACTCTAGAAGAATTTCTAGAACCATCCATGAACAAGTATAAATTTGGGTGGTCCTGTACATTTGTAAGCAATCCATATCAACTAGTCTTCTTCTATATCCAAGTTTTCTTATTCAAAATATTCTATCTCCTTTCTACCTTCCTCTTCCTTAGTTGAATCTTCCAATCTTAATTAACGATCTTGGGCTAGCAGAAGGCTTTCCGAATTCAACTTTTCTTCTGCTATTCTCTACAGAAATAGAAGTCGGATTGGGTCTTGACCTGCCCAAGTTTACTTTGTGTTCAAATGGGTTGGGCTCAAATGGACTAAAAAACGTGTTGGGTCTTGACCCGCCCAATTTGACCTGATTAATCTCAATAATATAACATATTGATATTAAACTTTTATAATCACAATTTGATTTCAACTAAAAAATTTCTTTTAAAAAGTAGCAAATGGATAGATTAATCCTAAAAAATGTTAAATGGATAATAGTTCATACATTCAATATAGTAACATATCTTAACAAAAAGTTTTAAAACCGGTTGAAATTGAAGTTTGAATTGAGCTCAATTGAAGATTCTTTTCAAATGGGTTGAGATTGAAGTCAATTCAAATTATCTTGAGTTCAACCCTTAAAATCTTTAGCGGCTTACCTATATTTGGGTTCATTTTTTACCCCTAACCAAAATCCATCAATAGGTACATCGACCCATATCTAGAAACGACAAGTTGAACAGTCTCTAAACAAAATCCATCAAAAGGTACATCGACCCATATCTAGAAACGACAAGTTGAACAGTCTCTGGAACCGGAAAACGAGTAGGCAAAATTGAGGGTTATAGCAGGCCATAGGTTCTCTAGAGGTAAAAAAAAAAAAAATCTCATTTATTTAGTCATTGTGAGACACTTGAGTTTGAAAATCAGTGTACCTTGCGACATTCATAATGACAAATATGAAAGCAAAAATTCTTCATTCAAACAACTCACACTACAACAGATGATTTGGACAAATTTAGATGTTTGCACTTATTGTTGAAGGTAAAAAGAGTGACAAACAATTCTAGATAAGATACATAAAATACACTTGATGATGTTAATTGTATGTAGTCTACGTAGACCAGATTGTCAAAGAAACTACTCGACATATATGACAGAAACTGGAGAAACTTAAACTAAACAGAAGCAAGCCAAGATCCTTCAAAGAATAGAGAAACAGAGAATAATTCATCATTCATCTATCGATAAGTTTTTCTAGTGCTTTCGATAGTTTTCTTTTGCCTTGTCATCCTTTATAGCCTTACTATTTATCTTGTTCTGGTTACTAACAGATCCCTCCTGAGCACTGCACATTTGAGATTTCATCTTGAAACCAAACTTCTTGGATACATTTCCCCAAGTGCTTGATCCCTTTGATCGACCCAACTTCTCAATCTCCTGCCTCATGGTTGAGCACTCCTTCTCGAGCTCTGACACGCGCACCCTCATACTATCCATTCCCACCTTCAACACCTGGTTTTCTCTCACAGCAGTAGCCCAGCCCCCCTCATTTGGTCCCACCGTGCCACTTCTTAACTGCCTTGACCCCTCATCAAGGTTTTCAGACACTAGGAAGCATCCTGCAATGGATGTTCTCAACTGCAGCTGTTCAAAGAAGAGTACTTGTACTATAATCCTTAAAGGGAGCCGTTCATTCTGTGCAGCATGTGTACAAGCTTCCAAGGAGAGTTTCTGGCAATCCATGAGCCTGCAGAGTTGTTCCCTATCAGATTCTCCCAACCATGGATGTGACTGCATAAACAAAAGAAAAATAACAGATTTAAAATCTCTACCCCACTTTGTGGAACTACTGGGTATGTAAGTTATAAAAGATTTACATTCTGAATTCTGAAATGAAAGATCTGAACCAAAACTTGAGAAAATCGCTTTCTTTAGAGCCTATATTTAGATTTACTTTCATTGGCCACTCATCTCGATTTCTTTATGCCCCCAACCCCTGCACTGGTGGTGGGGTATTCAATCACTAGACTGCTGCACCTAACTAGACATGCTCATACGAGCAAGCCACTTGAATCTAAGGCTTGTTGGGTCAATCTCAAATAGGATCTCACTATTAAGTGCAAATTTCAGTAAGCATAGCAATAGTGACAACATTTACTTCAGAGTACACACAATTATCATTACTTAAAAAGAATAACAAACTAAAATTTACCTTGAGATAAATGTCAATTGCACGATAAAGGCCATCATCCAAGGGCCTTGCATATTCAGGAACAGAAGCAGCAAGAGTCTGAAATTTGGGAAGCTTCAAGTTAACATCTGGGGCAACCTCAGCAAGATATCCATCGATTAGTTTTGCCACCATAGTGATTGGTGTCAGAGATGGTGAACCAATCAATTGCTCATCATCAATGGAACAAGGTGATTCACCACCAGTTCCTTGATCCATGGCTAAGAAGTGCTCTAGAATTCTCTGTACGCAGTCAACATTATAAAGTGTTTCCATCGAGTAAGAGAAATTAGGCATTAAGAGATCTTCTAGAGTGGCCTGATCAAGCTGCATTCCTATCCTTTTCTCCAAGTTTGATATGCAAGAGGGACAGGCTCGAAGAATCAAAGCTGTTTTCAGTAGGCCAAAGAGGAATTTAGTTGGAACTAGGCCTTTTTGCATGGGAAGTAAATTATCCACCTCTTCAAGTAAAAGCTTCTGATCTTCTTCTGATAGAGAAGAACCTAAACCAACTGGTGCAAGTCGGTTAGTGGACTCAGAAGAGGTCTGCCGCCTGTTTAGCCCAGGCAGGTACTTTTTAGCATAATAACTGAGGGAACCAGCAACAATATCCTGTTTGACGCCTTGAGATTCCATAGCAGAAATTAGCCTCTTGTAAAGAGGTAAACTTAAAGTTGATGCATCCTCATACCACCAATCTGAACTTGAATGTTTTGGCCTAGCTCCAGTGCTTATTCCATTCCATAGGATACTCCCTCCAGGACTCTGCAAGGGGCCAACGTGCTCCATCACAGGCCAACCAAACAGGTTCGGATCAGTACATGCCTTAACAGCTAATGAATCGATGCACCTTTTTGTAATTCTGAGTTCTTCAGCATATGGAAGAACATCATCACAGGTTTGGAGTGCCTTTAAAGAGTCTTTCCAGCTACGGAGAACTACCTGATTCAGAAAAATCTCAGTCTGTGATATCAGATTCCCCTCCCCATATTCTTCAGTCATATCAAGATGCTCTGCGGCACAGCGAAGGTATACAGCATTACCTGCTGTAAGCTCTAGTTTAACCCCATAACAAAATTTTGCTACTAGTTCAAATGTTTTAGCACCACCAGGGATGTCATTGAGTTCAATAACACAGCCATCTTCTCCTTCAGATGCTTCTGCAATCCGTTTTTCCATAACCCCACTTCTAGAAAGCAATGGGAACTGCAATTATTCGTTGGAAAACATTAAACATGAGACAAATCTAAAAGTTCAATCATCTTCCTTGCAATCAAATTTCAATTTAGATTTGACAAGTTTTAAGGAACTCCAGACAATCAAACTAATTTGATATTCTTCTCGGGAACGATTTACAGTGGTTTTTAAATGTAGAGATGGCCAAAATTTTGATAAAGTTGATATCTTTTTTTGTCTTGGAACATTACCATTGGTTGAAAGCATAAAATCTGGCTTGGAGAGAGTAAAGTAGAGCGCAACAGGTCATTATGAGGTGAAAAATATTGTCACTTCTGCCTAATTTCATCAAATACAGAAGCAAAAAGCATATCGGAAGTACTAAAAAGAAATGATGAAGAAAGAGTAACTGTTTTTAGTTAACAAGGTTGAATAAGGTGTAATTGAGAGCAACCCAAGTGCGACGTGAAGTGTTAATAGCAGAAATCTAAGGGAAACGGAAGGAAAGGCCTACACATCAGTAGATCAATCAATTGTTGCAGAGAACTATACCTTGTGGAGATGGAAAGTCATTTCCCCAACTTCAACAACAATGTCACTTGGGAGGCCAGTTGTGCAGAACCTACAAGCAAATCAACAAAAGGCAAGTTGTAAAATTTGGAAAGCAATATACCACGTGAAGCCATGACCATGCCAGGGCAAAACAAGAACATACAATCTAAGAGCACCCAGCCCCATTATCCACTTAAGGAATAGCAAGTAATTACAAAAATTTCAGTAAAATTATTTGCTCTCTTTGTTTCTGTGTACATTTCTACTAGCCCCACTGTGTCGGTGAAAGGTGATGTGCAGCAAAATTGAACCCCCCAATTAGAGGTTTGAAGCAGATATTGAAAATTGTTAGAAGAAAAGATGGGTACCAGGCCTGGCCTTTTCTTTGGAATGCATCTGTTTTGGATCCCAACTTCATACATGCCATATCTCCCCCTCGACTGTTACAAACACAAACCCCCTTAATTCATCCACATACACACACTCCTTTATTGAGCTGCTTCACCAACAACAAACTTGTACAGATCCACCAAAATGCACCTACTTTACTCAAAATACCCACTTCACAAATCTCTCAGTTTAAGACAAGTATTGTTTCCGAAATGAGACAATAAATTTAGGTCAACTCCAATTCCAATTCCAATAAATACCCACTTGTCACCATAAGATTCCAACACTCAACCCTTAAACAACCCCATTAATAGAGAGAGAGAAAATTTAAGGCATGATGAAAATGTAAGAAAATATCTCACCATTGTTTTGCTAATTAATTAATTAATGCTATTTGGTAGAGCTTTGTTCAGTTTTTTTCCTTAAAATGCACTCATTTTGCTTAATTAATTTCATTCTCTCTATCATGTCATACTAATTTTTCTTTTGTTCCAATAATATTTATCCACTTGATTTTATGTTATAAATAAATAAATTATTTTATTAATCATTTTTTAAATATAATAAATTAATATCTTAAATGTATAAACGGTTTATAAAGGTAAATTAAGAGTTAAATATAGAAATTAATTATTAATTTCAGTGAATAAGTATTGTTACTTATCTCAAATAATATAGTAGGCAACTATTATTAAATAGTTTAGTGTAGTGAACCGCTGTTGTTTAAGGGTGAAGGTAATAAATTGAGAATATAATAGAAATTGATTTGTCAAAAATAATAAAATTAAATTAGAAAATATTTCACAAGTTAATGGAGACAACATAGATACTTTTTAAGTTTTCACATCGGTGTTCAGAATTTACATTGGAGTCCAAACTACATTTGAATTGTGGGGTTAGCGCTTTCAACAGTATTTTCTCTAAGGTAAAACTTACACACATCGGGACAAATATTTATATCAAATCAATACATATATGTCGTGTTTTAAAATTTATAGTTCATTTATTTTATTAATTCATGTAATAATATATTTTACATTAATTTAATATAAATATTTGATGCAAATAATTTCTTTTTTTTCATATTCATAATTTAAATTTAAAATTTTTGATTAAGAATGAGGCACGACAATAGACTTGCTACTTATTGGAATTCGGACCTATGTGTTTGTCCAGCTAGGCCATGTGATGCCTGCATATGCTCTAATTATGATCAATTTTTCGAAAAATGAAAAACAGTGCTTGCTTAAACGTGCAGCTGCAGCATTTTATTAAATTCAAATTAATTAAATTTATATTCTTTGACTAATGATAACATTCTGGGTGGTCAATAAACAATTTGTTCATTCATCTCTTTTTCTTTTTCCCAACAACAACAACAATACGAAAATGATTAGTTAGGGAAGATTTACTGAAAACTTTAAACTTATAAGAAGGAAATTTGAACATAATAATCGTTTGATATTATAAAGAAGAATAGAATGATTCGATTCAACATATATTATTATATATGTCATAAAAAAATTTCAATTTCGATTGTGCACACAAAATTTATATTATATGTATATTATGTGGAAAGATAAATATTTATTTATCATTTTAAAGTAAGAATTTAAAGTCTATTCGACGTTTGTTATTGGAAGCCTTAAATCACTTATTTTGAAGAAAAAGGAATTGTCAAAAATTATGTGTTTGTCAAATGTGTAAAATTGCTTTTAAATATAATTAAAAGCAATTTTTCTGATGTTAGAAAGAAATTAAAAAAATTTACTTTAAAAAAGAAACAAAAGCAGAATCATAAAATTATTCTTTTAAAGATATATATATATAACAATTTTTAGCAATTGTAACAGTAATACCCCATAGGCTCTTAAATCACACATCACCTTAAAAAGGCTTGTTAACATATGAGTTGCTTGCTATATCTTTCATATTCATTAGGTGAATGATTATGGGTAGTCAATTAAGAACCTGTTCATTCTCTCACTCTCATTTTTTTTTCCCTAACAACAACAATATGAAAATGATTTCTTTTTAGGGAGGGGGGGTTCACTGAAAACTTAAAACTTATATAAAAAAAAATTAAACATAACAATTATTTTGATATTATAGAAAAAATTAGGATGGTTTCCACTCAATGATGTATTACATGTTCCATAAAGGATGTCTTGTTTCAATCGTGTGCATATAACACACATTTTATGTGAACCTATGAATATTTATTCAACGCTCTAAAATAGTGTTTTAATCACATGTTGCCTAATAAGGACTATAACACCATAAAATCTTTCTTTTTTTTTGGTTATTGACATGTCTTGTCAAATTAAAACTCAAGATTCTTAAATTATAAATATACTTTAACTCATAAAAAACTAGTTGATTCATAGTTAATTTTGGATGAAACTTATTGAGACCAAACCACAAGTCAAACATTCTTAGTAGTTAGCGGAGGGTCCTTCATAAAAATATTGACAAGTTTCATCATGTAAAATAAATTTCGTATTCACAAACTTGTATATATTTAGAACTAACGAATTTAATAAAAAATTTACATATTAAATATTCCTTTATTTGAAGTATTGTCTTGAAGTTCCTAACTAACATCAAATTAGTTATGTATATTTAACTAGGGTTTTATGCATATCATTTTTTAAAATCTGGCTCGAGTTTTTCATATA